GAATAGCGAGTAACTGCACCAAATTTCAAAAACAACATAGTAATGAAAAATTCAATCACATGTAATACAAAAAGAGATAAAGTACAACAGGGATTCCCTTCCAACTGCATTAGTGATCTTTTTTTTCATGCTTTTAAAGTAATATTGTAACTTTCATTTTCTTAATTTGTCAGGTGGATGACAAAAAAATTGTTAGGTGGCCCACCTTTATTTAATTAAAAAACTTAAATAGACTGAAGTACTTTTATTAATATACATGTCAAGTTACTGAGACGATGACTTCCTGTAATTTTCCCCTTCCAGATGGCACTTGCAGGTAAAAAGATGCAAAGATGTCTAGACTTTAAGTGTTTACTTGAAAAGATTCTTCAACAGCAGTTTGATACTGGGTTTCCTCATCTAGCTGAAGATTCACCAATTCTCCATAATCAAACTGATGTCTTTGATTCAGATGACTAACGAAATTTCTAGTAATTGAGCTAGGATCTCCCCAAGGAAGAGACACACAAATAGGACATGTCACAGGAACTACGTGTAATGGGTGGCTACTGTTACCGTGATCCAGCAAGCGTTGTCTGGTGAAATTAGACTCTTGACACAAGGGACGCTTAAAGGTGGGATGGCCAAAAGAGCTTGTATTCTCTTGGTAAGTATCTGTATTACCAGATGTGGGTGTTTCGCTCCTATTACTGTTCCCTGCAGAATCTTGAGAAATCTGAACATTTGGGATGACAGAAGAAACACCACACTCATCCTGATAGTTCTTGTTAGACTTGTGATGATGTCTCATGCGATAAAACTTAACCTGTTTTGCACAACATCCGCAGCGACCAGCAAATTTCCGCATGATGTCTTCAAGATCTCGGGCCCGTTCTGGGCACACTCTTTCTTTTCTAGTCACATTTCCATGACACAAGGGACAACGTGTCCCACTTTCTCTCATTGCAGTCAGGAAACATTTTCTACAAAGACTGCAGTTCCAGCACTCAGGAGACCAAGGCAGGAGAACCACTGAGAGTTCAAGGCGAGCCTGGACTGCGTCTCAAAAAAGAAACGATGAAAGGAAAGGAAAGGAAAGGAAAGGAAAGGAAAAAGAGAAAAGAAGAGGAAAGGAGGAAGGGTGAGGAAAAGAGGCTGGAACGCAGTGCTGGTGAGAGGTAGTCATGGATGGAAGCAGGCCTCCACATCGGAGTGAAACCTCTACCTTCTTTTGGCTTCCTGATTCCTTCCTCCTGCTCCTGTTATTTCCCTTTATCTTCTTTACCCTTCTCCTCCTCCTGCTTTTCCTCCTCTTCCTTTTCTTCCCCTGTTCTTTGTAATGTGGGACATTGACCCCACATGCTTAGAAGACTTAGAAGTGAACTGTTTTTCCAGACCATTTTCATTTTTATTTTATGACCAGGTCTCACTAAGTGCCAAGCCGAGGCTGAACTTGCAATCCTCCTCCTCGCAGATGACAGCTGTGCACCATCGTGCTGGCCTTTTGAACACTTTCACACATACGATATAATTATCCTAACGCATCATTGTTGTACCAGACTGATTTGAATCATTTTCATTTTTTAATGTTTAAACAATACAAAATAGTAATTAAAATAAAATAAAGCTAGCATTAGGCCAGCCAGATAGCTCAGCGGACTAAAGCTCCTTCCTAGGCACACACAGGGGACTGGAGTTGGATCCCTGTGTCATGCTGGCCCTGCTGCTGGGGTGCACTGAGACAGCGATTGAGACGGGGCGTGGTGGCATGAGCCTGTAATCCCAGCGCTTGGGAGGCTGAAAACGGGAGGATCACTTGAGTCCGAGCTGTGCAGTGAGAACCTGTAGACCTTGCACTAAATACATTTTTAAAAAGATTTTTAAAAGAATTATAAATGGTACAAATTTTCACCAATGTAATAGGAATTCAACAATGGTTGCTGTATTGCATGAAGTTATCTTCAAATTAGTTGTTTAGGTTACCAAACATTTCTGATCGTTCAGACCAGCCTATTTGCCTTGTACTGTGGTTCAGTCATATTGTGGAGTTAAATTCTTATACGAAAGAGCAGTCACGATGTCCACTCCATTTAGCTGGAGGCTCCTTGCGCGTGTGTACTCTGGCCGTGATGCTCACATCAGAGAAAGCATCAGGAGACAAACTTGTAAAGCCATTTACTGACTTTAACTTCTCCATTATCACTCAGTTACCATTACTGTGTCAGAGCAGTCCCTCCAATAAGTGACGTTGTTTCTATCACTTCATCAGTTGCCAGTGGGTGCTGCTCCGTGAGGAGCCCACGGTCTTGGACTTTTAACTATACGAATATCGGGGGGGGGATCAGAATACTTCCATTGTGGCTGAGAGAGGGTGTATACTGTCCCAAGGTCACCAACATTAATCCTTGGCCCAAGGAGCATCACCCTGAAGGTCTCCTACTTTCAGCCCTTTGTCCAAGTTGCTCTGCCTTCAAGCGAGAGACGAGTGTGGTCACGAAGCTCCGGATCAGAATCCATCGCTGTCCAGCATGGAGCCAGGTAAACACCCTACTCCAGGCACAGTGTTTCACGGATAACTGAACAAACTTTTAATATCATTTAAACAATATTTTTTATATTGTAGTAATTTGAATTGATTTATTTTTTCCCATAATTTTATTGATAAACAAATAGTAATGAGACAGTTTCAAATCAAATCGGTAGGACAGTTTCAATAATTAACACACTGCATACATTCTTCCTAGTGGTTAATTGCTGTGCAAGTTGCAGACATGAGATCTTATTTACAAACACCATTAGAACAAATCCCTCTATTCATTAAGAGAAAGTAACTATATATCTATCTTAACCACTTTGAATACACAGATACAAAATGGACATTCATCTGTATCCCCTGTTTTTGTTAAGTTCTGTTATTTGAATATTATAGGGGTGTAAACTCAGCAAAATATTCTAAAAGATTCCAGTGGTCCATAATAGTATTGGGTCTTCCGCTTGACTGGCAATGTCAGAAATTGTTGACCTGAGTCCCCCACAGCTCAACGTAAGAGCATGGCTTTACTTCTTATATTTTGTTTTTATACTTTTCTGCTGGATAGTTAGTTAAGACCAAAGTAAAGCAGGACCTATGCAACAAGAGTTGTAGCTTTTGGGTCTGATAAGGTCAGTGAAATCCCCTCAGGAT